GCTATATGCTTGACACACTGAATTTCTAATTTAAGTGACACATCATCACAATAATTTGATCAGTGTTTCCACATTATATCTTAATCTTTTGTTTGTTTTTCTTCCATAAACTCCATAGAGACATGGTTGGTTCTGACTTTGGGGGTGTTATTTCTTAAATTAGGACAAAAGTAGAAGGTAAAAAAATTTGGGTTTGTATTAGTCTATAATACACAATACGATTAGTTGGCATGAAGCTTTAAAGACAGTTTCTGGAAATGTTTTTTAAATGCCTGAAAATCTTTCTGTACTTTTATTATACAGCACATTTTAAACTATAGAATTGTGCTGTTTGGTATTATAAGATAACACGAGTTGTAGTGATTTATGTGTGTTTCTGAATCAACAGACCACTTCTAAAACTGCTGCTCCATGTAAATTCATTAATTAGCAGTGGAATCAAATTAGGAAAGTACCAATTTTTTATGCACCACCACTGCCCCCCCCCAAAGTAGAATAAATAATTTTATGGATGTCATATTACTCTCTGCATTTCTGAAGAAGCCCTAAGAAGCTGAGGTAGCTTCTACATTCTGGAGGACAAGAACTCAAATAATTGCATCAGAATGAAGTGTGGATCTTGAATTGGAAAGAAAAAAAATGTATTGAGATGCAAAATAGAAGATAAGTGTTATCCAAGACCTGTCTAGTCCAAGAGTGAAAAGAAAAAAGAGTTCTCGGGTGCCTGCAAATCCTACCTACTTTACAAGTCCCCATAAGCATACTGGGGAAATATCTGTATAATAAAAATAATGTAAAGGAGTTGTCATAAGAAGGATTGATCAAGTGTGCAGAAAGACAAATCTAGTATCTACTGTAATATTTTGGACTTTTCTGATTATGATTTGATTGCTGTGTGTCACAGCTGCCATTTGAATGAATCCATTCACGTTTGTCTCTTCTAAGGGAGTGTCTCCTAAAACCTAAGGAATGTCAAATGCTAGACAGCACAGTTAAAACTGAGGGGTCAGCATAGAGGGCAGCTGCTAGGAACATCAGATGTGAGCAAGGTAAATAGCATCTCTTGTTTCTTGCGGTGATATGAATTATATGATGTCAGTCCAGTGGACACCCCCAAAACCCCCTGTTTATTCTCCTTCTAAGCAATTACCTGTATGGTTCTTATTACTGTCACCAAGAAACATTTCTCTTGTTAGATTTCCTGTCATACAGGGGGCAAGAGGGAAATCAATGTTTGATTTCATTTCCATGGTTACATTAAGTATTTAACAGTATGGCAAAAAAAGTTGTCTCTGGCTTTTTTTCCCCCCCTGGTGTGGTAGAAGCCATCCTTACTCATAATTTAATACGGTTTCAAAAATATTTGGATACTTCTCAAAGCAGACCTCTGCTTTCATTGTTTTTATTTTCATGTATGTATGTTGTTGTTGTTCTTGGGGGGAAAAAGTGCTTTCCTTTAAAAAAAAATAAAAATCTTCCTTTAAGCAAAAACTGAAAAATGGTTTACTAACTAGGCTTGATGACCACAGATCAGTAAGTCATCAGTTTAAGATTTTACAATTTTCTTTTCTCTTGGAGAAGAAAATATAGTACTGTCTGTGTTACGACGTTAGAGATAAATTTCTTCAGTGTGAGTGTAAAATTAATACGATAGTGTTTTACTTCACAGGTGGTTTGTTTATCCTGCTTTCACAGTTAGCAAATCTTTGGTGTGTTTAGTTTCCCAAATAATCACACTGGAATATGTGGAGATATCACATGATTAGAATAATGTTTTACTACATGATTTTTAAAGTTAAATAAAACACAAGGATATAAAAAAGGGGAATATTACTGGGTTTGTACCACTGAGTGTAATGAAAAGACCTTACAGAAGAGGAGCAAAAGATCTCAAGTTCATTCTCATCCATTATACCATAATCACTTTGGACAGATGTTTGCCTAACCTGTTTTAAAACCTTCCAGTGATGGATATTCCACAACCTCCATAGGCAGCCTATTCAGTCCTTTACTCTTACTTGAAAGTTTTCCATATGCCTAACTTAAATCTTCCTTGCTTTTTCCTGTCTGCAGTAGACCTGGAACAGTTTAGTCCCATTCTCATACCAACATCCTTTGTGTTTGAAGAACGAGACCAAGTCTCCCATCTATCTTCTATAGACTAAACTACACTTCTTTCAAGCTTTTTGATCTTCTTTGAAGTGTCTTTACAAAGTTGAGAGACAGGAAAGGAGAATCTGAACAAAAGCAAATCTCTGTGGCAATTGTGGGGGATCTTGAGTATGCATGAGTGCAATGTGGATATTGCTTGGGAAGCCTCTGGAGCAGCTGAGACAGTTTGCCTATAATGAAATGTGGCTAGTCAGGTACACTTCTTTCAAGCTTTTTGATCTTCTTTGAAGTGTCTTTACAAAGTTGAGAGACAGGAAAGGAGAATCTGAACAAAAGCAAATCTCTGTGGCAATTGTGGGGGATCTTGAGTATGCATGAGTGCAATGTGGATATTGCTTGGGAAGCCTCTGGAGCAGCTGAGACAGTTTGCCTATAATGAAATGTGGCTAGTCAGGACTTTCCTGACTTGGCTCTTCTTTATTTCCTCCTCTTCCCCTTGCACTTCTTTTCTAGAGAAATTGCAAGCTTGAGGGGTGGCGGTTTATTTAGTTTTGTTCCCCCCCCCCCAAGCTGGAGGGGAGAGGCATGGAAAGGGAATAGATTCCCAGGTGAGAAGTTGTTTTTTATAATGTTTGGCCTGTGGTGCTGTGTTAATTGATTCATTCATTAGTTACCTTTACACTTTTTGAGCCGTGAAGTCCATAACAAGCATAAAACACTTGGGAAGCAGATATTTCCCTCCTGAAAACGTAGTCCCTTTGGTTCCAGTCAGTTGAATAGATCTTATAGAACAATGGAAAGCACTTTTTGAGCATAATAAAAATGTGCTAGTTTGCTTGGGTAGCACGATGGCTCCAAATGTTTTGAGATTGTCACTGTATTCATTTTATTAATTTGAGTATTCCTAAACTGTCCAAGCATGCATGTTTATATTAAAATAAGAAAAGTTCCTTACCTGAGCATGCTCTGTGCTTCTGACAAATGATTATAAATTCAGTATGGTTAGAAACTTGTAATCAATTATAACTACAGTTACAATTGATTATGATTTGATTGCTCTATGCCCCTTACCCCCGGAATCATCTTAAAAATGGCATGACTTTCAGGACTGGCAGATGGTGCCTGTTTCAGATCTTAGTGTCGTCTTACTTTCATATTATTAGCTTGTAAAATAGTTTGCAATTTCAGTTTTCAATATCATATTTTAAATAAGTGGCTGGTTCAAGTGGAGAAAGAAGAAGAGCAATTTAATCATTTGTTTATTCCTTTGTATGCTATTTATTTTGCTGTGGTAATTAATCTACTACAATGATGCTAATGCTGCTGCATACAGGCTAATATTGAGCTGCATTAGCAGTAGTGTGTCACCACCAAAGGATTTGTTTCTGGATCATCATGCATATTCTTCCTCTTGAATATCCTTGGCTTTGTTTTTCTGTTACTCAACAAATCTTGTCTCCTACCATGGGATCAGGGCAGGAATGGGGAGATAAAAGTAACTAAGAAAATAAGTCAGCATCTGAATAATACTTGCTTTCAAGTCTTGGAGCAGAGCACCTTCCAGTTGTTCCCTTGGACATTTGTGGTTTGGTTTACTTCATTCTGTTTTGTCAGACTATTGTCAGTTGGTCAGTGGCCTTCTGTAAGGGTGGGTCACCCATTCTGTCCATAGAAATTGAGGAGGGGATGATTGTCCAAGAAACCTTTATTGTCCATATGGGGTGTGAACATTATTAATAAAGGTATGAATTACTGTTAAAGGGATAAGTGAGGGAATCATCTCTGCCTACCAAGATGAAGCATAAGGTTTCTCTTAAGTTACGTTTACAACCTAGAGTCATGACAGTCTTAAATTGATCTGTTTTGATGATTTAAATGCATTGATGGGAGTCTGTAACAGTAGCTGTAATCACTTGTTGACCCTTGCTGTTTCTAAAGAAAATTATTTTGATGATACCTTACTGAAATGGGAATTGTATAAATTCCTCTTTGCTGTGTACAGTTTTCAGAGAGAAATTCCAGGAAAGAGATACCTTCTACTGACCTAGCTTTTACAATTTTTGTTACACTCCACAAATTTGTTTACTATTCTTAAGTTTTTATGCCACTTTATATAAATTGACAGCCTAGAAACTGTTCCTTCAAAAACTGTAGAGTAGGAAGCTTAAACTAGCATTCACTTTAGAAAGCAGTATATACTGCATTTGGCCATCATCCGTTAAACACAATTTGTGTGGAAGAACCCATTCTTCTTTCCTCAGAATGCTGGAAAAAACGTGACAGATTCTGTGTTAGATTACAGGAAAATTGGATTCATCTCATAACTGTTTCCCAGGTGTGTTGTCTCATATCCTAATTATCTGAGAGCAGACAGATTCTGAGATGCTTTTTACGTTTGAGAGTGGCTGGCAATGCATAAAACATCATCAAAAATTGCCTCGAGTTAGCAAATCTCTTCTTGAGATCATTTGGTACAACCTTTTGGCACAAAACTATCCATTATAGATGACTTTTATTTCCATTTCCTTCTCATCAGGAGCTTTTCCCAACATAACTTCAACTGAGTATGAATTAATAGCTAAAAGATTAGTCTCTGACTTCAGGACCCTCTCTCAGAAACAATCCATGGCTGTTGGATCTGTTTTTTATCCCAGAGTGTTTCTCAATTACAGTTTAGTATACAGCTTTGTAGTGGCATCTTGTTTCAGACTCTGAAGATAAGTGAGCAGATCATTTCGGCAGCTCAGTTGGCCGGGGCAGCTAGGGACTGCTACTCCCAGAGGAGTGCATGGGCTTGCACTTGGTGTGCAAGAGGCACTACGTTGGGCCTGGTAGCAGCTGCTCTGGAGTGAGGACGTAAGTTCACAGTCATGCTTGTCCTACTGTAAGGTTAGAAACCCTCTATGTGAAGTGCTCTGGTAATTGGTAACAGTCACACACTAAGGAAGGCACCATTGCCAACTAGGATACGACACTGAATTGTACACCAGGGAAATTAATCTTTTCTTACGGGTTGAATTACCCTGCTTATGTCACAGTGGGTAAGTAATTTCATATCCATATGACCATCTATATAGTAATGCTAGTGATAAGAACTAGGCACAGACTTTTTTCCCTTTAAATATAGCTTATAATTAGATTTTACTGAGAACTTACCTGCAAATTTGCACTTTTTGAAGATGCTAAACTGAGATATTCTAACTGAAAATAATTGTTTTAAAATGGTTGGATTTTTAATAGAATATTTTGGAACACAGCAAAGTTATAATTTAGCTCAATTTGTCTTAAACTATGGAAACAAAAGAAGCTTTGAACCCATAGATGAAATATGGCTATTCCCCAAAAGCTGCTTGGAGGATTCTTCTGTCAGATACCGTCAGTCTTAATAGCTGACATCAGCCCTCTCGGTGTCCGAGACAAGTGCACAAGGGGTTTGGTTTTTTTTCTTCTCCTCTACACAGATCTAGTAATAAAAGAAGAAAATAATTTATTACATACAATGACAAAGAAGGTTCTAAAAGGCAATTACAGGACTCCTTACTTTTTTTTGGTACCATTAAAAGATACAATATTGCTGTGGTTTCTCTCAAGCAGTGTTTAAGTATTTATAGAAGATGTGATCCAGAAGTTTACCTAGACTAACATACTATAACTCAATAACCATGTTGCTATTCTGGACTACTGAGTATACTTACTTTGAAATTGGGTGCTCGTAAACCCAGATATTTAGTAACAGTGATGTTCCTAACTTAGTTCTTTTCAATACCAGTGCGTGAACGTTTTTGTGAGAAGTTATTCATAAATGTATGCAATGTTAGATTAACAGAGGGAAGAAGATAGGCGCACTGTCCTGTAACAGCTAGTGGTTTGCAAGGGATGCTAAAAATCCAAAAACCTCTTGATGTTCCCCTCTAGTTTAGAATATAAAAAACAACTCGGGCCAAAAATAACCCTTTCAATATCACCCTCTTTGGTTTGGGAAGGGCATTTCTGTGTGTCAGCTAGAATAACTGCAATAGTGAAGCAGTAGAGGATCTAAAATAGCTATGTAATAATATAACCCTTTGGTGGATGTTCATGTCTGAGCAGAAGTAAAGCTGGCATTTTGATTTCAAGTATCCTTTGAATTGTTATTTAGTGCACTTGATTTAGAAATGATTGACAGGCAGTTGCTGTACAGCCTTTGCTTCAGAAGTCGGTTGGTTTGTTTTCCTGCTGCGACTAGAAAAGTCCTC